GAGAGAGAGAGAGAGAGAGTTGAGCCTCGTTCCATCTAGGAATGTCAAATTAAATAGGATCCCTCAGTGAATTTATCTGTCTGTCATCTCAAACTCCCCTCTTGTTATTTCTACACACGGTGCTTCTCTACATGTTGTTGGTGAGCTCCGTCTCACTTTAATCAAATCAGCCAGCTGGGAGCCTTCCATTCAGACCCCTGACTGCAGGGGGAGATGTGTATCAGTCAAAGACATTAAGCTGTGTATGTATCACTTTGAAAACCAATGGCATAGTCATACAGATATAAACTGCAACAGACGTTTTGATACGTCAGATGAAAATGAAGATATGAAAATCACTGAGGATGTCAGCAACTGAATAAAACCCATCTTCATCAATTAGGATAGACATCTTATTTTCTGCTTTCTATGCATCTTTTTTTCAGCTATGGGCTTAATGAAAGTTCACACACTGGTATCAGTGAGTGTCATTCAGCGGCAGTTGAGACTAATACTTATATGACTGCTAGATTATGGAAATATAATTTGTTCTCCCTGTGCAAATGACTGTAATTTCACTTTACATGAAGAATATGTCATTATGGCAATGTCACTCTGTCTGTCGGTCGACCGCTTGGGTCCAGACTGAATCTCAATCTTAAATTCAATTTCTCAACAAACTTGGATTTTCATGAAATTTGGTTCAGACATTCATGTTCCCCTCAGGAGTCATCATAGTAACATTCATCTAGCCCCATCATCATTTCTTGTTTGTCCAATACGGTTTGATAGAGACATTTGTTATTTTCCTCTAGCGCCATCATCAGGAAAAGAGATTGTCCTGCTACACATCACACTATCATTGTCAACATATTAGCATGCTAACACGCTTAACTAATGTTGAACATGAATGATTAACATGCTAAATAAAAGCATGTAATTGTTGTGGGCATGTTAGCATGCTAAAGTCAGCATTTAGTTCAGGCTCTGCTGTGTCTACATGCAATACCTCACAGAGCCACTAGGATGGCTGTTTAAGACTCTTGTTCCAGGCAGGATCACAGATACGTGAACCATGTCACAGCTGCCCCAGGGATGATATTTTCTTCTTCAAGCTGTCTGCTGCACTTCATCCACATTCCTGTATCATAACTAATTTACATACAGTTTAACATATCTTAAGAAGGATGAGAAATATTATTAAAAATGTTATGACAGCTTATATAGTGAGCTTACTCTTTTCTTTTCTCCTCTCGCTTCTATCTTTACTGCATC